GACTTGAATCGAATGCCTCGTTAATACGTCACAGTAGATTTTGATTTTGCAATTTGCATCAGTGAACCGATGCGAGCGCCCGCAATCTGCATGCGATGCATCGCTCAGCGGACAAATCTACCGTGACGTAGGGCTCTAAAACAATAGATTTGATGATGTCACAGTAGATTTCACGCGGAAAAGGACTCGGGACCGATGCATTCACTGATGCAAAATGGCTGAAAATCGATGCAAACCAAATCTACCGTGACGTAGGTGATGCATCAGCTTTCTACTGTGACGTCAAAGGATGCGGTAAAAAATAACATATTTTGTCGCGAAATTATTGACGCTTAAGTGTCGCAAAATTAAAAGTAAATAACAAAAGTACACATTTGCGATCGCACGTCGCATATTGGACTTATTTTGACAATTTCGACTGTTATTGAGACTATTTAAATTGGATTTCATCCTAAATAGTGTATTCCTGACATGGAGTCAAGTTTAAGCAAATATTTGCGGTTTGATAGCTGGAGAGATTCAAAGATATTCTATTACTGAGTGCTTGACCAAGTATTGACGACAGAATAATATGTCTATATATTATTTCAAGCAACATGATTTCTCAATTTTGACCAATGCATTCGCATCGTTGGCATCGGTCTGGATCCGCCCCTGTTAAAGGCGAAAGGTAATCACGATAGCCTAGCTATTTTGCTTTTCAACAATTTAATCTTGCGAAATACACGACCCGCTCGCGTAGAAAATTAACAAAATTAACAATGCTAAAACCAGACGGGAATCATTCATGCGTCGCAATCGCAACTGAATTAAAATAAACGAAAGCGAACTTGACGGTAAATAACCCCGCACAATGACCGAAATACACATCAAATTAAGATAGAACCGTATAACATACAACAGAACTGTAACTAAAACCACAAGTGCTAGCGATCCTCAAACACACACAGAAAAGAGGCGACCGTATTTTTCGATCAGCCGCCCGCGAGTGAACCATGCATGCATGCGTTATACAACGAAAAATAACTTCGCCACACCGAGCATATACTGCTAACAAACCGATAACAGCCCAAAGGGCGAAAATCTGAACTAGACCCGCAAAAAAACAAGCTACAATACAGACAAATACCAATATGAATAACAGAATCACGTCCAAGTCCAAGTTTGGTGCCTGAAGCTGTTCATTTTCAATTGGATCATTTACCGACGAAACTGGTTCATTCTGAGGCGGAGCGGAATCAAGATCAATCAGTTGGGCAACAGCATTAATTCGCAAGTACCGCTTCTTGTAAACGTGCAAGGAGGTCGAACAGGCGTTGAGCCACACTGTAAAGTCTGTAAATTTCTTTATCTTGCACTTCTCTGTCTTGGCGATCAGCACAGAAAGAGCTGTTACAACCTGTAAACTAGGGTTTTATGCATTGTACATCATTATTTATTCATAAAACAACATTAATTACTCAAATTCCATTAGTTAATCAGCTTCCGTGGCGCGTTTGGCCAATTTGAATAGTAAAATATCCAAATGGCCATCCCGCCACGGATCACAGATTAAGCATTGGGGAAAAGGAAGGTCCATTGTTTCCAAATGAAGCACGGAAATGAATTCCTCCGCAGTTCAGTTACTACTCGCTCCCAACAATATATCTCCCCAATATATCCAAACCCCCATTCTCATATACCCAAACCCCCATTCTCAAATACCCGACTACCCCGCCGAGTCGCCTGTGCCACACACACAAGCCAAACTATAATCTATGAAGCAAACAAACCGGCAATGGATATGGAAAAGCGATAGGTGGACTAGCATGGTCAAGCGACCATGAACGCAGAGAATAACCCGGAACTGATGCCACAGGTCTGGTCCCCGGGAGAAACTTCCACCCAATGACTCGCTTCGTAAGACGCTCAGAAGCTGCTACCGAAACAGAAAACAACCATACCAACAGGTTCCCATGCAGGCACAACAACTGTTTGACAACGTTTGAGACGTTAAGCGAGTGGCGAGAGAAAAGATGAACAGAGAAGTAAATCCCCAAAGCACCCCCCGGAAGGACCAGAAAAGGGCAACAGTCCCGGCACAACTGCTAGAGTCCAACACAAAGAGCTTTAGATAGCCCTGGGAAAGTTGACCCCCACCAGCCAAGAAAAGAAAAAAGAACCCAAGAAACGCAAACGAAAACCAGCTATCGAGCGCAAACACAAGATCAGTAATTTCATACCCACTCGAAAAACAATATTGCGCAAGAATTGGGTGATTCGCGTATGGCAAGGAAGGTATACTGTTCTGAATCGCCAAAACATTGGCCCGTATCTGTCCAATCCAAATGCAGTAAGCACGTGCGCTCGGTCTCAAGCAATCATGTATGGCGAGACGCACCTCGTGCAGTTGCAAACATGAGCAATTTGAATCAAGCCGTGTGTGGTTCATGCGCTGTTCGTGCTCAATCCCAAGCAATCATGGATTGGGTCTATTGGGAGATGCATTTCTCTGCTTGCCCAAACATATAAGCAACGGACCACTAAACAAATTCCGTAACTGCGAGACGCCGCTCCCGCGCATGCACCAAACTCATTAACAAATGATTTCCAAATTCGAAATCAATAGCTGCCATTGTTGGTCCCAAGCAATCATGTATTATAAAATGCAATCCTCTCATACACGAAACACCTGAGCCGGTTCTTGCAATCCTAAGTCAGTAGAGACTCTTACTCGGTCACAAGCAATCATAAAATTGCGAGATGCACTTCTCTTATACGGCAAACACAGTGGGCACTTAATTTGCCTTAAATCCAAATTCAGTAGCTATTCGTGCTCGGTCTCCAGCAATCCTACAATTGCGAGATGCACTGCTCTTACACACCAAACACATTGACCACTGTACGTGACTTAAATCCAAATGCAGTAGGTAAGCGTGCTTCGTCACTCAAGCAATAATGTATTGTGAGATGCAATTCTCGCATACGCGAAACACACGAGTCTTTCCTTTCAATCCCAAGTCAATAGCTACTCGTGCTCGGTCACAAAGAATCATACAATTGCGAAATGCCCGTCGCCCATACGCCAAACTCATTGGCCAGTTTGCCTTAAAGCCAAATTCAGTAGCTACTCGTGCTCGGTCACAAGCAAGCATACAATTGCGAGATGCACTTCTCGTATACGCCAAACTAATTGGCCACATTGCCTTAAATCCAAATGCACTGAGCTAATTGTGCTGGGTTTCAAGCACACCTGCATTGGAAGATGCACATTGCTCATACGCCAAACACATTGGCCACTGTGCCTTAAACCAAATTCAGTAACTAATCGCGCTCGCGTTCACAAGCAATCATGCATTGCGAAATGTACCTCTCGCATACGCCAAACACATTGGCAACTTTGTTGAAAAGCCAAATTCAATAGCTACCCGTGCTCGGTTGCAAGCACTGATCATGCCAGCATTGCTAGATGCACCTTTCTCATACGCCAAACACATTAGGAAATGTATGTAACATCCCAATTCAGTAGCGACTGGTGCTCGGTCTCAAACAATCATGCATTGCGAAATGCACGTCTCTCATACGCCAAGCACATTGGCAACTTTGTTTAAAATCCCAATTCAGTAGCGACTGGTGCTCGGTCTCAAGCAATCATGCATTGCGAGATGCACTTCTCTCATACGCCAAACACATTGGCAAGTTTGTTCAAAATCCAAATTCATTAGCTACTCGTGCTCGGTCTCAAGCAATCATACACTTGCGAGATGAACTTCTCTTATACGCCAAACACATTGGCTGCTTTGCCTTAAATCCAAATCCACTGAGCTACTCGTGCCCGGCCTCAAGCAATCATGCATGGCGAGGTGCACTTCTCTTATACGCCAACACAGTGGCAGCGTTGTTGAAAAATCCAAATTCAATAGCTATACTCGTGCTCGGTCTCAAGCAATCATGCATTGCGAGATGCACTTCTCTTATACGCCAACACATTGGCAACGTTGTTGAAAAATCCATATTCAATAGCTATACTCGTGCTCGGTCTCAAGCAATCATGCATTGCGAGATGCACGTCTCATATACGCCAAACACATTAGCAACGTTGTTGAAAAATCCAAATTCAGTAGCTACTCGTGCTCGGTCTCAAGCAATCATGCAATTGCGAGATGCACTTCTTTCATATGCCAAACACATTGGCCACTTTACCTTAAATCCAAAGTCAGTAGCCATACTCGTGCTCGGTCTCAAGTAATCTGGCATAGCGAGATGCACGTCTCTCATACGCCAACCAAATTGGCAACTTTGTTTAAAATCCCTATTCAGTAGCTACTCGTGCTCGGTCTCAAGCAATCTGGCATTGCGAGATGCACGTCTCTCATACGCCAAACACATTGGCAACTTTGTGTAAAATCCAAATTCAGTAGCTACTCGTGCTCGGTCTCAAGCAATCTAGCATTGCGAGATGCACGGCTCTCATACGCCAAACAAATTGGCAACTTTGTTTAAAATCCCTATTCAGTAGCTACTCGTGCTCGGTCTCAAGCAAGCATGCATTGCGAGATGCACGTCTCTCATACGCCAAACACATTGGCAACTTTGTGTAAAATCCAAATTCAGTCGCTACTCGTGCTCGGTCGCAAGAAATCATGCACTTGCGAGATGGACTTCTCTTACACGCCAAACACATTGGCAACGTTGGTTAAAATCCAAATTAAATAGCTACTCGTGCTCGGTCTCAAGCAATCATGCAATTGCAAGAGGAACTTCTCTCATACGCCAAACACATTGGCAACAGCTAAATCCATAATAGAATTTGTGCTCGGTCGCAAGCAAGCAATTATGTTTTGCGAGATGCACTTCGGCCATACGGCAAACATAGTGGTTCTCTTTCGCTCAAGCAAATGCAATAAACTACGAAAGCTCGGAGTGAATCAATCATGCAGTGCAATTCGCTCCCGTCCCATACCATACGAAAACACAATACCTAATAACCATTTTATTAAAGGTGAAAGGTAATCACTATAGCCTAGCTATTTTTCTTGTCAACAATTTAATCTTGCGAAATACACGACCCGCTCGCATAGAACATTAATAAAATTAACAATGCTAAAACCGGACGGGAATCATCCATGCGTCGCAATCTCAACTGAACTCAAATAAACGAAAGCGAATTTGACGGTAAATAACCCCGCACAATGATCGAAATACACATCAAATGAAGATAGAACGTATAACATACAACAGAACTGTAACTAAAACCACAAGTGTAAGCGATCGTTAAACACACACAGAAAAGAGGCGGCCGTATTTTCCGATCAGCCGCCCACGAGTGAACCATGCATGCATGCGTTATACAACGAAAAATAACTTCGCCACACCGATCATATACTGCTAATAAACCGATAACCGCCCAAAGGGCAAAAATCTGAACTAGACCCGCAAAAAACAAGCTACAATACAGACAAATACCAATATGAATAACAGAATCACGTCCAAGTCCAAGTTTGGTGCCTGAAACTGTTCATTGTCAATTGGATCATTCACCGGCGAAACTGGTTCATCCTGAGGCGGAGCGGAATCAAGATCAATCGGTTGGGCAACAGCATTAATTCGCAAGTACCGCTTCTTGTAAACGTGCAAGGAGGTCGAACAGGCGTTGAGCCACACTGTAAAGTCTGTAAATTTCTTTATCTTGCACTTCTCTGTCTTGGCGATCAGCACAGAAAGAGCTGTTACAACCTGTAAACTAGGGTTTTATGCATTGTACATCATTATTTATTCATAAAACAACATTAATTACTCAAATGGCATTAGTTAATCAAACTACACAACGACAACGATACGATAACTTGTATACGCACGCTCATTGGTAAAAAATTTATCGTTATCGTCAAACGATAATTTTATCATTTTCGTTGTTGTGTGGACACTAACACAATTTTTTTGACAGTTATCGGGTGTTATTAAAATTTATGGTATCGTTATCGTTGCGTAGTGTGACCGGGTCTTAATTCATGCGCTGAAGATGGATTATCTTTTTTTATACATCCTGTAAATGACAATTTCATTGTAATACTCGTGAAAAAATTTAAATAAAAAATAACAAGACATTGGGTAAAAACATTGGGTAAAAAATTTCCAAGCACGAAAATTTTTTGCAATAAGCCGATAATGTTTCCTAAGGCCGCGGCTAAGGGTGGTTATGAATAGAAGGAAGTGAGGGATGCCTTTAAAGATGGTAGATTTGAAAAGTTAAACAAAGGCAATGTTGACAGCGCTGCGCGGACGAAGCTATTGTGCCATCGGAAGTTGTGAAAATTATTTGTGTCAGTATTAGCTGATATACAAGCTGTTCCAAAAAAACCCGCAAAACCATTGAAATAACGTATTGTTAAAGTTCCCCTAGCACTATTAAGATGGACGCAAAGATGCGTAAAATATTGAGAAGGGGGGTGTCTGCTAGAATTACCCTGCGAAAGGCGATGATGCCCTGCAGCAAAAAAAATTTTGGCACTATTTCTCCCAAAAAAGTTTGCGAGGGGGGGGGGGGACTGTGTAGAGGTCGAAAATTTTTTTTTCAAAAAAGGGGCGAAAAAGGGCGGACATAAACCAGTTAAATTAAGGGTAATTAAAAAGTTTTTTCCGGACAAATTCCTGTTAAAACATGCATGGAAGCTGCTTAATAACTCTACATTCTATCATTTAAAATATTTCATTGCCCTGCCAATCCAGATGATTTGCCCTGCCAATCCAGATGATTTGTACTTGGGGGGGGGGGGTGTCCATACAGGGTGTTCCCCCCCAAAAAAAACGCAAAACCATTGAAATAACGTATTGTTAAAATTTGAATGCCCTAGCCATAAGCTGAACGCAAAGATGCGTACAATATTTACAAGGTGTATATATTAAATATTGACTTATTAAGAACTTAAAATATCTTTGTAAAGCGCACGATTTTCTGCTCTTGGGAATTTAAAACAGCTTCTTAAACCGTGCACGTGTGGGTTCAGAACAGTGCTGAGGCATTCAAATTCTAACAATATGTTATTTCAATTTACAAACTCATCAGACCATATTCTTTTGTATTTCGTCGGTTTTTAACTCCGCCGTAATAACCTTCAATCTAAAAGCAGGCGGTGGTATTTGATTTCTCCGGGGGAAATACGGGGGTTGAAGGTTATTACGGAAAAATAATAACCGG